AAACAGGTTAATATCAAAGAGGCAGATTTAGGTAGAAGATTATCAGCAGCTGCTAATCCCCCCTTGTCTAAATAACAGACCTACCCAAAACAGATATTTGAAGGACTTTTTTTCTCACAGCCTCTTTCTCAATACAAGCAATAAGTCCATTGAATTAGCACAATTGAGGGGAGGAAAAAAAAAAAACAAAATGAAAAGAACAAAAACTTCGGAATGAAAAGACGCTAGCCTTTGGTTAAGGAGATGTAAGTCTGCTTCTGAAATTGTCAGTCTAAAAAAACAGAAAACTCATATTATTTTATGGCTATAAGGATTTAGAATAAACTTGTCCAGAATAGGCAATAGGAATTTAAATTTTATTTTTTTTTAAAAAAACCTTCCGTAGATTTTCACTATGAAGAAATTCAGCTTCATTTCTTTCAACTCCTGCAAGAAAAGATATTTATTAATTTTTGAAAATATCAGATTTCATTAATCAGCAGAAATTAAGAATAAAGGAATTGCTGTTAATAATTCATCACTTTCCAGTTTTATTCCATCTTATTATTGTTGCTTTTTATCCCAACACTCTGGCTCTATACACTCTTCATTATTACTATTATTTTATTACTAGTTTTATTCCATCTTATTATTGTTACTTTTTATCCCAACACTCTGTCTCTATACACTCTTCATTATTACTATTATTTTATTACTAGTTTTATTCCATCTTATTATTGTTACTTTTTATCCCAACACTCTGGCTCTATACACTCTTTCATTATTACTATTATTTTATTACTAGTTTTATTCCATCTTATTATTGTTACTTTTATCCCAACACTCTGTCTCTATACACTCTTCATTATTACTATTATTTTATTACTAGTTTTATTCCATCTTATTATTGTTACTTTTTATCCCAACACTCTGGCTCTATACACTCTTCATTATTACTATTATTTTATTACTAGTTTTTATTCCATCTTATTATTGTTACTTTTTATCCCAACACTCTGTCTCTATACACTCTTCATTATTACTATTATTTTTTATTACTAGTTTTATTCCATCTTATTATTGTTGCTTTTATCCCAAATATCTGGCTCTATACACTCTTCATTATTACTATTATTTTATTTCTAGTTTTATTTCATCTTATTATTGTTGCTTTTTATCCCAACACTCTGGCTCTATACACTCTTCATTATTACTATTATTTTATTACTAGTTTTATTCTATCTTATTATTTTTTTTGTGTCTGGACACTCTGGTTCAATTATATAAAATAATAAAAGGCATAAAATTCACTGAACTATGGCCATTATTTAATCAGTTTGGCAATATTTGAACCCATGAAAAAACAATATTTCACAATTATGTTTATTCGCTCCATATTGCTATTACTCTATACACTTTTGTCTCCCTCTGCAATGTTTATTTAAAAGATTATAAAAATATTTCAACCAAGTACAATGCAATATTTATTATTTGACATTTTAAAAGAAATAAATTTAAAAAATTTCACAAATTTATATAAAATTATCAAAATATGTAAACTAACTACAATGCAACATTTATTATTTACCATTTTATAAATAACTATGAAAATTTTTTTATTCATTCTAATAAAAAAATAACCTTGAGACTATAAAATTATTCTTTTAAATAAGCAATCTAATAAATAAATTATGTTTAACATCTTTGTTGTCAGTTCTCAATAATAAAGAAAATGTGTAACTCTGCTATCATACGTTTGGGCTTCATTAAAATTCTAATCACCGCTGTTTAAAAAAAATAAACATTGCTGAGGGAGTCAAAAGCGTATACAGTTACAGCGGTGTCAAGGGAATTACCATTCTTTTGACACACCTTTTTTTTGCAGGCAGAAATGTTAAACATTGCTATGAATATTTATAATCATATGTAAAATTTCATGTTAGCTTTCTTTGCCTACTTTCATTTTTAATGTTTTAAACGTCAGATTTTTTTCTTTTCACTCAACAATAGAGATAATTGTATGAATGAATATGATGAATGCATTTGGAAAAATTATTTAAATGTAATTTTTAATAGCTTCTACCATGTTAGTTTATTTTGCATGTATTTTTACACTTAATTATTTAAAAAGCAAAATTTTTTGTCACAAGGGACAATAGACTTAATTATATAGATCAAAATTGTAAATTAATATGGGAGAAAGTATGACCAAGGCAAATTTAAACTAGGAATTATATTTCAGAACATAAAAGATTTTAAAATTTTCACTTATATTATTATGTCAATTAATTATGTCAATAAATTATTTTATTATTGAAGACTGTATAGCACCAGAGTGTTGACATACAAAGCAAGAATAATAAGATGAAATAAAACTAGTAATAAAATAATAGTAATAATGAAGAGTGTATTGAGCCAGAGTGTTGGGATAAAAAGCAACAATAATAAGATGGAATAAAACTAGTAATAAAATAATAGTAATAATGAAGAGTGTATAGAGCCAGAGTGTTGGGATAAAAAGCAACAATAATAAGATGGTATAAAACTAGTAATAAAATAATAGTAATAATGAAGAGTGTATAGAGCCAGAGTGTTGGGATAAAAAGCAACAATAATAAGATGGACTAAAACTAGTAATAAAATAATAGTAATAATGAAGAGTGTATAGAGCCAGAGTGTTGGGATAAAAAGCAACAATAATAAGATGGTATAAAACTAGTAATAAAATAATAGTAATAATGAAGAGTGTATAGAGACAGAGTGTTGGGATAAAAAGCAACAATAATAAGATGGTATAAAACTAGTTAGGTATTCACTGAAATTGTTAATTATCTTTAGTTGACTTTTACTTCTTTGTTCTTAAGTATTTATTTGCGTTTTAATTAAGTACCATTTTATTGTAACATAGAACGTCTTGAGTTATACTTAATTATTAACGGCCACCGTACACCACAAAAATAGGAATACATTTTATATTTGAATTACCGACAATACATTTCATCTGTAGTTGAAGGCATAAAGTTTCGTTTAAAATATATTTAGTTGAAGGTCTATAGCTGTATTCAAGATATTTATATGTCAGCATTAAATAACCAATGGAGGTTAATATGCTTCCAAAATCATCTGTTGATATGCCATTAATGAAACAAAACAATGAATCATTAAATGAATTCCTAATTTGATAGCATCAAAATCAAGCAAACAGATAAATGTGGTATAGAAATCCGAAGATGCAAAGACCATAATATAGTGAATACGAAACCAATTTGAATGTTATATTTATTATTTATAAATAACCATGAAAACAAGTTTATATTCAATCTAATGAATAAACAGGGTTTAACATATTTGTTGTCAATTCTCATGCATAAATAAAATTGATTTTCATGTTTGAAATTCTAATCCTCTAAAAAGTGATGATTTTTTTTTATCAGGGAAGTAAAATAATTCTTAACGAAAATATCATTAGTTTTCAACCTGACATTTCAAAAAAACAAAAAACGAAAAAAACAAAAAAAACAAAAACTAAATAGCAGTGGAATTAGGAAAGAGAACTAAGAATTATTTAAAATACATTTAGTTGAAGGCATATAGCTGTATTCAAAATATTTAGATTTCAGCATTGAGCTGAGTTTCATCTACCATTTATTCAACCAACAGAGGTTGATATGCCTCCAAACAAAATCATCCAACCAAACAACGAAAAAACTCATTCATGACATTAATCCATATAATATCAGACAATTTCTTAAAGAAATCAAACTGTGTTCCAAAATATAACGTCAACAAAACTACAATATAAAACACACATATCACCATATCTAGTATTTATGTATATGCATAAAACCCAGGGTCATAAACTCACACCAGTCCAACCAAATACGTTAGCTCTATCACTGATATTGAGCGCTTTCCAATAAGTACCGCGCATATGTAATATATAAATAATATATATAATAAATTGTACATATCTATATATATATCTATATCTATATATATATCTATATATGTATATATATGTATATATATACATACACATTTCACATATATTTTATATATATATGCTTATATATTATAAATTAACTGATTTGAAATATGTTTTTTTCGCTACACAGTAATAACGGAAGCTAAAAACTTTAATTATATAATTAAATTAAAATCATTAGTTCCGTAACGGATGTCCGAATTCGTTGAAAAATACACACCTACCCTCTCTAAACTTAATCTCTTTTCGAACGTAACTCATAATTGATACAACAATAGTTAATAAAAATGAACACGCTACCGTCCCTGTCTGAATGATTGGATTTCTCTCTATCCTTGGAAACAGTAAAAATTGTTAATTTTATATGTGCGTTTAAAACTCAGTAAATTTTAATAATAAGTTATTCCAATATTCGCTTGAAGATGAAACGGAACTAATGCTTTTAATTTAATTATATAATTAAATTTAAAGTTTTTAGCTTCCATTTTTGAAACATGGTTATTACTGTGTAGCGATAAAACCATATTTTAAATCAGTTTATTTATAATATTTATGCTCTGTAAATTTACATTGAGCACTGTATTGTAAAAATAAAAATAAAAAATAACAAGAACACCGGATTATATATCTTACTGTTCTTTCTTTTTATTTATATATACATATATATTTATATATATATATTATATATTTATGATATTATTTAAAAGAGCATGATATTCTTTCTTGTATGTGACAATAGACTTAACTGTATTGATAATATATATATATTACTCATGCAGGAAATGTAACCGATGGAGTTGTAAAATTACTTAAATATGACTGCCATTTTTTTGACATGATGTGTAAACAATAAATTCTATAATTGAAAGGGACTTGACACTTCCGAGAGTAATTTTGCAGTAAAAAAGCTCAGAACAAAAATATCATTAGTTTTCAACCAGACATTTCAAAAAACAAAACACAGACAAAATCAAGTAGAAGTGAAATTAGAAAAGAGAAATGGGAATTATTAACCCTTGGGCAAATTAATTGAAAC